AATGAGCGAGGGGGGAAGAAAGGAAAGGTTTGCATCTGGGAATTTTAGGAGGCTGGGAAAAGAGATGATGGGAGTTAAGGCTGTCCAAGCTCTTTGACCTGTAAGAAAAACATATCGGGAACGATTTTAGTAATTGCTCATAGTACAGCAAAAAGATAACCTTTCTATTGAAGAAAACCTCATTACTGGGGTCTTCAAGTCCCAATATGAATTGGCACAGCCCTGTGGATTGCAGTATTATTAGATCAGAGTGTATAGAGGATGCTCTGAAATGGATGTAGTCCCCATTACAAATAGAAGGGAGAATTAATTCCATCATATACTTGTGACTGGCCAGCTTAATGCTGAATATGAAACAATTTTGACTCTTGAAATCTGTCACAACATAAACATCCCCATAAGCCCCACATTAAGAAGTTTGATGTCCTGTGGACTTTGAAGTCGGCTGGCCTTAATCTCCAAGAAAGCTCAGGCTCCATTTGTTGCATGGGGGGATTTGTGAGGTCCTTCTCCTCAGTGTAGCTTTTCTCTAAAAAGCCATCTTCAATTATGACATTTTTCTTGACATTTACAATAATTTGAAATATTTTAGTACTCTTTCCTTTGGTGAAATTTAGTTAAAATTGATCAACAGGTTAAAAGACTATGCAGAAATACGGGAACAAATAGTGTGACAGCTTAATTTACATCTCCTTAGCATCCTGAGAAGGCTCCTCAGAAATCTTTCATATATTTATATATACATTTACATGGATATCTGACGCACTGAGATATGTTTGCACGCATGTGTGTATGTGTGTGTATAATTAAAGTATTGTCTTCTGGATCCACAGCATTATTAAATAAAATAATCACAGAATATACCACCTGGCAAAATCAGTGTGGTCCTCAGGATAACCAGTCAAGTAATTTATCATCCATCTTCCTCACAAGGATTCAGTCAGAAACGAGGGGATCAAACCGCATCAGTGTGGGTGAATGAAGGTCATCCATCAAACTTGAATGATATTTTTTTAAAGAGTGATGTCATGATAATTATGTCGTGAAAAAGTGGTGACTGCTGAAGCCCAAGACTACTGTTTTGAATAAAAATAAATCTTTCTGTCCACATGTCACCAGTTCCTAGAAAGCGTTTCACATGCTCCCATGACTATAACATGCAATAATTTAGGAATCATGCTTACTACTTTTCACTTCAGGGTGGATTACAATAGCAATGAGGAAAGCGGCCATGCTGGCCTTGTGCTAGAGGAGAGCTACATTTTTCTGACCTCTTGTGATGCCACTGTGTATTTCCTGTTCATAACCTGTCCAGAGTGCATGGCCAGCATATTTCTCTAATCTCAAGAGTTTTCCGTATCTTGGAGAGTGATACATTGAAAGGAGCAGGAACGTCTACAGCAGCTGTTATATCAAAGTGCATTTTGATATATCAAGTGTGCTTGTGAAATCTCTCGTGTTCTTGAGCAATAGCTATCATCTTCTCTGAGGAGACATTTCTCAGGTTTTAGTTTTGAAGTGAAAATTACCATGCTGTGAAGCTCTGCCAGGGCTAGAATCAACTCTCCAACAGCTTGGTCCCCACCTCTGTATTTCAGTGCATGTTCCTGCACTGCCAGCACTGATTAGAACTTCCACTTGCTCTCTCCCAAGTCTCTAATTAGTGCAATATTTTGATATTTTGACTTCTGTTCCCTCCTCTCCTGCATGTAACATATGCAAGTTACACTGGAAGCAATTCGCCTGCAGGGTGGGCATCCCACTCTCTTGTGATGCATCTCCGACCCTGATCTGGGAGGGCTGCTTTCAGAAAGGAAGCTGTCCCTGCTAGGAAAGACTTTTCCTAACCAGTTATTCCACTGTGCCCAGCACCATGAAGCCAACCGTGGCCTTTATTATAATACAACTGCACAAAATGCCATACTGGATAACTGCACATTCCCCTGCCTATAAGCAGCTGGATTACAAATTTTAGAGGAATTTTGTAAATAATGTATAACGATGGCTAAATCAGGGAGAAAGTGTGAGAAAAATAATTATTTGGATGAGTATTATGACTAACTACACTAAGCAAAAAGTATGGGATACCATGGATCTAGGGCAGGAATACACCCGCATCAAATGAAGTAGCTTTTGTTACAAAGTGGGTAAAAAAATGAGTGGGTAAAAAACACCAACTTCTTTGCTAGCTACCAAGATTTTTGTGAGGTCACCTATTCTAGAGACTTAAAGCAGCCTGAACAACTGGATGTCACTGTGGGAATGTCCTGAAGAAAACTTGAACTTTTGTCATTTTTGATGAACCAAAATAGAGATAATGTATTGCAAAAAGAAAGTCCTACACTTACCAAGAAGCTGTGTTGAAAGTACTTTTGGATTTAGAGTTTGCATTTTAAATATTCCATAATGATTCATAGATGTCTCTGTATTATTATTTTCACAGATGAGGAAGCCTGCCAATGCTTGCTAACAGATTTGCCTTGCTTTCCAGTTCTCTCTGCCCTTCAGAAACAGAAAACACCCTGAAAATCCCTGACAGCTTTTGGAGCTCACCACAGGCCTGCGTGTAGTAATCACCTAACTGCAAGGCACTGATTTTATCAGTAAAGTCCTCAAAACACAGCATGTTCGGGAAAAAATAAATCACCCTGGAAGCTGCAGTACGTTTCTATGAGAAAGAATATGATGTGATATTTGTGTATGTTGTAGTGGGGTTTAGAAAGAATATAGATTTGGAGAAGGAAAGGGCAAGCTAGTTCAACTACTGCCATTATTCTTGTTACTTAAACTTGAAACATGTTTTATTTCCACAAAAGTGGCATTTTGGAGCTTTGGTGACCATTAGTGCAGATGCAACACCCTTCCCTCCAGACAGTGGCAGTGCTTAATAAGAAAGTGGGAAAGAAAAAAAAACACAAACGAACCCAACCCAACCAAAATTCAGAGCACCCTGTTGCCCCAGACGAGTCTTACTCGTGCACAAAGCTTTCAGTAAGACGGGCACGGCTTCACTTACCTAGATGGGTGCACGGGCGCACATGCAAGGGCACGTGGCCTTTGCTTCGAAGAACCCCTCAGCGGACAGTGCAAAACAGAGGTGCAGCTACCCAGAGAAGACAGGGAAGCTGGAAGAGCTCTGAGGAAAATCACGGCCTTTGCTTCGAAGAACCCCTCAGCAGACAGTGCAAAACAGAAGCGCAGCTACCCAGAGAAGACAAAGCTGGAAGCTGGAAGAGCTCTGAGGAAAATCCTAGGGAGGAAGATGCTGGGAGACTCCCATGCAGCTCAGGGAAATGAAGTAGTGGTGTGGTGATGACAAGCCCCGCTAGCAGACAGGGTGTACGATGGGTTGTAATGAGCAGGCCTTGGCATTACCCGCCTGGACAATCGGGACTGTTCATGGGCCACAGCTGTGATTAATGTAGTGCTCACCAATCCCTGCTGCATGGGCTCCGTTAAAGAGCAATTCTTCATTTCTAATAGCTTAGATAATAAACATACTCTTCCCAATGTTTCCTACGGTTACTCTTCACAACCTCTTTCCAAAACAGCTATTGCTGGTAATAATCAGTAAATACCTAGTTAACACTACGTAGATACAATTTAGACACAGGCAGCTCTGGCAGAGATGCCTTTTTTGCAAGGTGTCACTCCACCCATTGCTCCAGGAAATCAGCAGTTCTGCAGTCACTTTCAGTACAACAAGGACTTGACCGACAGAGAGTTTTTGAGAGTCTGCCCCTCCTCAGGGCAGAGTGGCAGGACTCCGACGCCAAGGTAGAGCGGATGGAGAAGCACTCAGGTTCGTTCCGTCCGGGCAGACATACACACTGCCTCCTGCACGCTGCGGGATTGAAGGCAGATCCTCTTCCCATCCATTATTCAAACCAGAAATGTGATCATCTCGTGCTCAGATTTCCATCAGCTCGAGGCAAATCACAGGAGAAGCATCTGCGTGGCCTGGAGATTGGCAAAAGGGACGTTTTGACACCTTCCAGTAACACCAAACGCTGCCTGTTTCAGGAGGATGTTTTATTTTGGCATCAACCAGGCCCTGCGCTATCCACTGGCTTCATTTATGTGGCTCCTGCCTTACAGTGAAATCCAGCATGGGGGCATTAAGAACAAACAGCAGTTCAGGGCACTCAAAACCAACTTTTTTTCTGTCCACATTTCCATTATTTTGGAGCAAGCCTGTGTGTTACTTTTGGATAATCAACAAAATAGCCTGTACTTAAGGCTTGATTAAGTGAAATTAAGTGAAATTAAGTATCATTCTTTCAAAATGTAACACTCATATGAAGAATATTAATCCTAATCCTTGGAGTGGTTTTTGCCTTCCTATTCACTCAGATTCACTAGAATTCAAAAAACCTTCTGCATTTGGACATGCTGTCTCAATACATATGTATTTATTGTACCATGCACCCTTGGGGTGCATTGATTTCATGCACCCTTAAAAGAAATGCTCACAATTTTGAACTAAAAGCACAATAAGAAATGATCTAATGGCTGAAACTCTTGACTTAAAGTAGGAATAACATCCTCTCATAGGATTGCTGAGCAACCACCTTTACATGTCTCAGCACCTTTAAATAAGGAATTAAGGCATTGATCTGAATGTACGAAGTGCTTCTGGGCTTCCAGGTAGGCAGTGTATTATTCTCAAAAAAAAAATCCCTCCTTCCTTTACAGTATAGAGCAGTCCAATGACTAATCAGTGTCTACTGGACTGATTTCTCCCCTTCCAGGGGAAAAAAAGAAGAGAAAAAGAAAAAGAAAGAAGACAAAACACTAAGCAAGAGAAATGGTGAAGTGACAGTTCCTGTCTGCTCTCAGCAAGCAGCAAGGATTTTTGAGCTAATGCCAATCTACCATTTAACGCTCCGAGCGCAGCTCCGAGGCACGCTCGTGGCCACGAGGCAGGTTTGCTCGAGGGCTGAGCGCTCCCTCCCAGCAGCTCTCCTGTCTCCAGCAGGACTCTGCAGCCTGGGACGCACCGAGCAGCGCACGGAAATGCTGCACATTGCGTGGCTCTGCAGCACCAGCCCCCGGCCTCTCCAGCGGAGCAGGAGGCGCTGGTGGAACTGCAGCCAAACACGGCAAGTGACTCCCCCTTTCAGAGCTGACTGAAGAGCAGCAGGACTGAGCACCACCCGTTCTCCCCCTTGGGTCTGCTCTGGCAACGTGAGGGAGCCCTCGACGCAGGCAGCCCTGGGCACGCCGCGTTGCAGCACGTCGGCTGCCAGCAGCGCCACAGCTCGCGCGGCTGGTCGGGGGCCGCAACCTGCCCCAAACACGCACAAGGGCACAAGGGCACAAGACTCTGCGACAGCAGCCGGGCCTGTGGGCACCCCAAAGAAGCGGCAGGAAAAGTATACACCCTTACAAGACAACGCCATTCCTTAGTGATTAACGTTCAGTAATTGATCAGTAGTTGCAAATTTAGGACCTTGGATGCAAAAATCATACACAGGGGAAAGTCCATGCCAGTATTAGGCAAAACAGGGTTTGCAGAACATTCAGTTCCAGTAGCATATCACAGTCTCATAATTAGTAGCAAATATTAGTGGGGAAAAACACAATGCCAAGCTGAACGTTCTCAAGCACCAAAAAGCCAGCACAAATAAATGGTGAAGCATCTACGGAAAGTAAAATAAATTATTGCAGTTACTGAAACCACTTTTTGACCGAAAAGAATATCATAATAGACTGAAAGTCAGTCGCACAGAAAGCTTTTCTTTGGATTTCCCACTGAACAGGCTTCTGCACCAAACAACAGCAATAAAGACTTAAGGTTTCAGTGGAAATAAAAACACTGGAATAATACAGAAATCATCTTAAAATATATATTAATTTACTACATTTAGCTTATATAGCCCTTTATGTATGTTACAAAACACTACTGTTCTACATACTGCATGTAAAAAAGAAAAAGTTTATACATATATATATGTGTATAAAGGCAAAGCCAGACAACTTGGTATTTAAAACAAAAGACAAGCATAAGCAGACACACTGGGAGTTACGCTGTAACAAGGAGTGTATGCTCCACATGTGCGTTAGAATAACAACATACAACAACCTTCAAACACCTTTTTCACTGCCTAACTAGGGTGTTTTCTCTGTATCAGCTCTGCCAGTTACTTTCCCAATTCCCACAAATATCTCGTATCATTTAACTTCTGGCCATCGCTGCTATTATTCAGCACTAAATCAGAAGGCAAAAATAAGGCAAAATAACCTTTCAGATCCCTGAATATCTGACAACATTCACATGATCTTCCTGAACTACTGCAAAACTCTTCAGGAGCTCAAGAAATGGCAGCCCTGAGCTGGAGCACCTTCCTGCCTTTACATGGCTGCCCTGACACTTAATTCCAGGGTGATCCAAGCTACTCAAGTACAGATGATTATTCCTAGGCACCCTCTTTGTTTTAGCAAGTACCAAAGGAGACATTAAAGCTTCAGGAAGGGTTTGTGCTCACAATTTCCAGCCAGCAAACACCACTGAAGAAGGTAGTCACTTCCGATAGCGCTCAGAAGTCTGGACTGGATGCTCAGGCTGTCAAGCTCTGTGAACCTCAATGCTGCAAGTGTGACTCCACTTTTTATGTGCCTAGCATACGTTTTACCAAAAAGTTTACAGTTCAGTATGCAAACTGCATACTTTTTTGCTGTTTGTAAAGAAAAGAGAGAGAAAAAAAATCATCAAACTTCTCTTGCATCAAGTCAACAAAAACAAATTAAAAGAGTACACAAACTGCATACTTTCTTTGCTGTTTGTAAAGATAAGAGAGAGAAGAAAAATCATCAAACTTCTCTCGCATCAAGTCAACAAAAACAAATTAAAAAAATCAATCTGGTGCTGACAGCTGAACATCACAAGTTCTCTGATAATAACTCAAATTTACCTTCTTGATAAAGCAAAAGTACCTAAAAAAACCAAACTGAGGTACCTGGGGTAGAGGAGAAGGAGGCCTTTGAGGAGCTTTCAGGGCTGGTCACCAGACTTGAGCAAGAACCCACCACATTTTTTTTCCCAGCACAAGAGCAGCATCAGGACCCATCACTTCTCTGTGGAGGCTGCTTCAAGGCTGCAGTCCAGCAGACGCGCCAGCCCCTGGCAGGCACAGACAGGGATGCACTCGGCCCACGGGTGCACAGGCCTCTTGGCAAGACCAGCACGAGCTACCAGGGAACATCTCAAATGTTCCTTGGACTGTCATGCGCCTGAGGCTTAAACTAGAAAAAGAGAGCAACAGTTGTGATGAGTGGATATCCCAGGAGTGTCCTTCCCCACGCTAGCTATGCCAAAAGAGAACCATAATTTGGATAGCAATAAGACAAAGCCCCAGGTCAAAATCTCCCACTTGTTTTTCTGGATTGGCATTCTAGAGGATCGTAACAACCAGGAACAGCAAGAGAGAAATGCAGAAATACAAAAATGCAAGGATTAAAAAGCAGAAGGGGAGGCAACGATCCCCCTCTAGCGATCCCTTTAAAACAGTATACTTAAAAACTTTAAATTCACTTAAAAATCGCTTTCCAAATAGTCTGATAGTTTGAGACTTCCAAAAATCATGATACGGTTCAATGGAGGTCATTAAAACATCACTATAGCCTTGTGAATACCTGCCACCACTTGTTTCCATTAATATTCCTTAAAAGAATAAAAACATGCAAAACATCCAAATTTCAATATGTATACACAATAAAAATGAACAGTAATAGAAAAACTCCCTATAGTTCAAGGTGACTGGCTTGATTCAGCCTCCATTAAAACTAGTGGGATTCTTCCCACTGCATCCAGTGGATTTTGGACGGGGCCTTAATGAGAGACGAGCAAATATTGTCTTACATTGTCAGACCACACAGGCAGTGCACTTGTGTAGATACACTAGGTATATAGTGCAAGTGTCGAACTGCTTATCTAAAAGCAGTTGTTTTAGCCAGCAAATGACAGTCACCAAGCCAACGCGACATGCGATGCCAAACTAGGCTGAAAACCAAACAAAAAACCCCAGCACCCCCTCAGACACATTCATGTTGTTACAGTTGCCTAGTGAGCCGCTTTGTATGAAGCTTAATGATACATCCACTTGAACCCAAATACAAATTGGAAAGGCAGAAAGCTGTGTTAGTACAATGGCCTGCTTGATTTTATATGTGCTCTGGGTGACTTTGAAGGCAGGATATCATCTCTTTGACAGGCTTCCCTTCGTAGCAAATTTGATATACAGCAGTGAATAGTGGAAACCTAAGGAAAGAAGAGAGGAAGCAAATGCAGCATAAGATTATTTCCCTCATTTAACAGGATATTATAAAATAAAATAGAAGGGAAGAAGGAAAAAGAGACTGAAAATCACTTTCTCTTTGTATTTGTCAAGTATTCATGCTGGGTTGAAAAATGTTGAATAAATAAGACCCTACACACATCCCTAGAATCAATCACTCTCTCAAAAGCCTAGCTAGATACAACAGAGACATTCATTATGTAGAGCACAACCATTAACTTATTTAAAGAAAATGAAAAAGAAAAAAAATGCTTGCATCTTTCCTTGATAATCTTATTGCAGTGCTAATCTATGGACAAAAAAGATGACTGGCCTGTCAGTTAAATATTATCTCTCAACAATAATTTGATAATGTAACTGCAAAATATGAAAAAGATACAGGAAGAATTTGAAGGTCAAGTTTTTAATGACAAGAGCATAAAATTAAAAAATGGATTTTGAAATACTAAATTCAAATTCTTTTTTTCTTTTAAAAAAATGGCTACTTTTCCAACAAGTCCCAAATTATTCAAGCTTCTTTGATAACATGAAAGGCTATTACAACCAAGACACTTTACAGCAATTTCATTAATTTTTTGACCTTCACTCAGCCTGGACAGTGAGAATCAGACAAGTCCAATTTTCAGACAGAGATTGGTGGATTTTAGGGATTAATTATCTATTCACCTACATAAATATGCAGTTTCAGTGTGACTTTATCTACTCATAAATTCTGGACAAAAGCACTAACTTATTTTGACTGAATAAAAAAATAAGGAATACTGACTATGCAAAAATAGTTAATGATTTGAGTGATTCAAAACAGATCTGAAGCAGGCGCTTTCGGCTTTTCCTCTGCAAAGTGATCCCATCCCTCAGCCTGTGCTACACGAAGCAGCTCTGGTGCCTCCAGCCAGCTCTGAACTGTTCCATGGAGCAGTCCCTCTGCTCACATGTGGAGATGTCTCGGGAAGAAGCAGAATGCACCACAAAGCAAGGAGCAGCCCAGTCAGGAGTCCCCTCGCAGCACAGCGAGAAGAGCACCCTCGCAGACAGATGCAGGATTCACACCGGGGAGAATGCAGCACTGCTCAATACCAGGCAAAACAAAATGTGCGGGAAGGCACAGGATTGCAAATTTAGTCCTTTGTTTCCATGGCTTTTCCTACAAGTGCTTCAAAATGAAGTGTTGTATTTTCAATTATCAAAAGCATTTTGATGTCCTGCTATGAAATGCAAGCCCATTTGTTTGTGGAAAACAAGACAAAACCAGCAGAGAGAGCAAATATTATTTCAGGTCAATCCAACTGACCTTCGATTTTTGTTTTATTTCAGCAGTGGAATCAATAGTAGCATATAGCCACACAGCTCTTGTTTCCAACCCAATGCTACAATAGTTAAGTTGCAAAGACTTACTAGAGAGTATGTAGAAAAAGTAATTACACAAATAGTTTGCATTTCTTAACAAGGAAATGGTTGGGGAGAAGCTGCATTTACTTTTAACATAAAAGCTTAAATGTGGGGACTAAAATCAAAGGTGGCAGGCCTGTGTGAGCTTTGTGCTGGAGTCAGCCACAAAACAGACCATGCACCTTACAGACAAAAGCAAATTTCACGTTGCTTTAGACGCACTACTGCAAAGTAGCAGGGAGCTCGGAGAGGGACCACTACCTTGGATCACATCTCAGCATGTAACTCCTGCTGCTCACCGCAGAGAACATCACCGGAGCAGCGCGTGGCAGCGGGAGAGGCGCTTCCAGCAGTGCTACTCCACGGTGTGCCGCGCTTCACGCAGCCCAGACGGAACCACGGCCGGCTGCGGGACCCGGCAGCAAACTCCCAACGTGCCTTAGGTCAGGGTGCAGCAGGAGGGTTAGTGCTACAAGCGGTGCTGAGATGAAAGACTGAGCGGTGCAGCCAGGATTGCAGCAAACAACGCCGGGCACCAAGCCTGCTGCCAAAGCGCCTCTGCGGAACCTTGCTCACTTCTATGTATTCCTGCGCAACCTTGGGGCTCTACTTGCAGGATGAGGGAATGAAATTTTACTCTTTCTTGACTCTTACCTCTGCACTTCAAAACTATTACTGTGTTTTAAGGCAAACCTATTTTCAAAAAATAGCTTGAAAGTTACTTTCAAAAATCTTGTTGAGACCTTTCATGAAAAAAATGGTTCAGGCTTGGTAGATCAAATGGAAATGAGTAACTCTCCTATTCCACAGCTTTCATTAAAAGCACAACCCAACTAAGTGCACTACATGGTGTGGGATGGAACAGGGAAACAAAACAAAAAACAAAACAACAACAAAAAAACACGAACAGAGACACCTATTTTATTTTGGGTATCATAAACAGGAAAGACTAAAGTCATCATTTTAATAAGATTTTTCTGCAGATAGCTAAATTGCTATACAAGGCAGTGACAGGATTTACTCCTAAAGATAATGTTAACATTATCTTTATTTAATTTAATGCAGATGCATTAAAACTAGATTTTTAAAGCTGCTTTGAAGGGAAAAAATAGGTATCAGGGGTTGGTCCTCTGACTGGGAAGTCATTGATTTTTCAGTTCAGCTTGATCTGCGAAGAGGAAGAGATGCATCCCTTAATCTCATCGATAGACAACTGTGTATGTGGCTTCAGGAACCATGTATGTGTTGACTAAAATCATAGAATCATAGAATGCTTAAGGTTGGAAGGGACCTCTAAAAGCCATCTAGTTCAACCCCCCTGCACATGGAGCATGTGGCACAGGGTGGCATCCACGTGGATTTTGAAGATCTCCAGAGAAGAAGACTCCACAACCTCTCTTGGCAACCTGTTCCCGTGCTCTGTCACACTCACTGTTAAGAAATTTTTCCTTAAGTTCCTGTGGAACTTTTGGTGTTCCAGTTTGTGGCCATTACCTCTAGTTCTGTCAGTGGCCACCAGTGAAAAGAGGGCAGCACCATCCTCCTCACTGCCTCCCTTGAGGTACTTATAGACACTGATTAGATCCCCTCTCAGCCTTCTCTTGAACAAAGACAAAAAAGGCAGGATAACTTCCTTTATTTCAGGCCATGCACACCCCCTCACATGGAATCACAGAATGGTTGAGGTTGGAAGGGACCTCTAGAGATCATCCAGTCCAACCCCCTGCTCCAGCAGGGACACCTGGAGCACATGGCACAGGGTGGCATCCAGGCGGGTTTTGAAGATCTTCAGAGAAGGAGACTCTGTTCCAGAGCTCTGTCACTCTCCCAGTAAAGATGTTCTTCCTCACATGGAGATTAAACTTCCTGTGTTTCAACTTGCACCCATTACCCCTTGTCCTGTCACTAGCCACCACACAGAAGAGTTTGGCCTCATACTCTTTACATTCACGCCTCAGGTACTTCAACATGTTGATCAGATCTCCTCAGTCTTCTCTTCTCTAGACAAAACAGGCCCAGCTCGCTTAGGCCCCTCACAAGATAGATGCTCCAGTCCCTTAATCATCTTTGTGGCCCTATGCTGGACCCTCTTTAGAAGCTCGATGTCCCTCTTGTACTGGGGAGCCCAGAACTGCCCTCAATACTCCAGGGGCGGCCTCAGCAGAGCTGAGCAGAGGGGCAGGATCCCCTCCCTCAGTCTGCTGGCAACGCTCCTCTTGATGCAGGCCAGGATCCCATTGGCCTTCTGCCCCCTCCCTCCCCCCCACAATCTAGACAAGGAGATGGTAGTTTTATCCCATAACAAACTGGAAGTCACATAAGGAAAGAGAACTGCAGCATCAAGCTAGAACTCCTGTAGACAGACAAAGCCACTTTATCCAGCAGATCACCTGTACTGCTGCAACAAAACCCCGCTTCCTTGGGAGATAGGCAATTAATTTACTACTATGAAACAGGCTACAGAGCATCCTTACAAGGCTCTAAGAAGCTTCGTTTTTGTTTTCATGTATTTTATTCACTTCACATTTCACACACTCTGCTATCCCTGTGATACGGGGAGGCCACCATACATTCTCCATATTCGTGAAAAGTCTTCCATTTTACGCCATGCTATCAGTTCAAGCAGAAGTGTATTAAAACAAATATTATTTTCCATTTTATTCATTATTCCCGTGTTTTTAACTTGGGACTAAACTGCTTGTGTTATAGTGATTTGCTTTTCAGTCATCATTTTCAGGAAAATCTCAAGTTCAGGAAAGCAAAAGCAGTTAAGAAAATAAAAAAAAAGGGAGAGAGGAAGAACTTGCTCTATTTTTTTCTTACTCACTTTTCTACCATTCCTTTCTGCTTGAGGATGCGATACACTTCTGCAGAAGTCTGCGGTCCTTGCAGTTTCTGACCATTCAGCATTTCTTGCTCCAATTCTTCAATAGACTAAATAACAAAGGGGGAAAAAGAAGGAAGAGCAAAAAGAGAGTTACAATGGCTTTTATACTCTGGATGGAAAAAACAGGTGTATTTTGAGGGGTGTATTTTCCTGCCTCAAAAGCCAAACTGGGGAAAAGGCTGTGTCAGCGAGTGAGCAAACATGTCACTTGCATTCCCCTTTTAAATGGTCTCCTTATTGCATCCAAATCTCACACATCTCTCATTCTTTCTCTCTCCTCTGCCTCTTTTGTAAACATCTGTCCTTTTAAAATACCTTTCCATGGATTCTAGCCTTGTAACACTCAAGAATGAGAGGAAAAAGAAGGGTGCTCACTAAGCACAGCTATCGTGTCTCAGGTCACCATATTATGATTTCAAGAAAGCAGGAGCACCAGTGCTTGCAACAAGGGATTTTTACCCAGTGGATAAGCTACCTTTCCAGTTTTAACAAACGCTTCTGCCACCCGTCGATTCCGGCCACCATAGCACGTTGTGATAAGATCGGCAACTCCGCAGCTTTCCAGGAAGGTGGCAGTAGACACCTGTCCTTTGCAGAAGATTCTGGCAAAGGCAATCATCTCCATTAGGCCGAGGCGAATAACGGCAGCTTTGGTATTGTCTCCACAGCGAAGGCCATCGCAAAACCCAGCTCCTACTGCCACTATATTCTAGAGAGAAGAGGAAAAAAAATAGGAAATGAGTCAATTACTGTTTAGAGAATCCCAGAAGACACTAATGAAACAGAATGTAAGTATCCTTAAGAACTGCATATACAGCTATTTATGAGATAACCTTAAAATAAAGTCTTATATTCGGAAAGTATTTCCAAGGACAAAAGCATAGTTAAAGCTTTGAAAGAAGCTGCCCTGCAGGTGATGCAACTATTAGCATTGACTAGGACCAGGTGAAACTGCGTCCAAACAAGGTTTGCCTAGATTCAGCTAATCCTCTCCGGAGGCAGGGGTAGAGCTACACTTGAGCCTCAAACTTTAAGCCTTATTTTCTTTGTGATTAAAGCAAGACTGGATCTTAGAAATGTTTGTTCTCTTTCATGCTAACATGGTGTGTGGCTAAATTCAGCTAGTCTAATAATAGGATTCCTCCCTTTTAAATACGCAGAGTTCTTAGACCCAGAAGGTTTAATAGAGGGTTCCCTGGAGGTTCATGGCACACTGAGACCTTTCCTAAGCACAAAAAGATTCTCTCCATAGACCTGGCTACATTCCTCTAGAAAGAAGGTACTGTTTCTTCAGGACCAAGGAGCTGTACAGTCCCTTCTTTGGCTTACAAACATAAAAGGTAGATCAGTTGTGTGACTTTAGAACAAAATGACTGTAAAAATCTTTTTCTTGACTGAAAAATAACAAGATAAGCCACCAGGAGGCAAAGCATAATTCACCCATCCTCCTCCCAAAAAACTCCAAAAGAGATGAGGCTGTGAGGGCCTGGTATAGCAGACAAGGAAGAATGTGGTAACATCTTTCTGCATCACTAACAGCAGCAGCCACCTCAGCTCAAACCAGAGGATATCCAAGGGCACTACCAGCCCTGGAACTGTAACTTGCTGAAGCAGCAGCGGCAGCACTGGGAAGCTGCTAATGAAGGCAAGACTGTTAACAGCTGGTTTTGTTCCCTCTGTTGGATAACGGGACCCAAAGGCCGCAGGCAGCCATAGCGCAGTGAGGCTGATCACCACGAGGTGCCTCTCGCCCACAAACGGGGCCAGGGGACGAGTCACTGCTTTCTGAGCAGGCAGCTGAGGTGTAAGGTGACCCTTTGAAACTGTGCTCAGAAGTGCAGATATGAGGCATGACAGCAACAAAAGATGATCAGACCTTTAAAGCTGTCACTTCAGATCATCTTGGCTTAAATCTTCACTTTGATGATTCAGGCAAAATGTTTTTACATGAGACACCTTCGCTAGGGCAACAGGCCATCACCTCCAATACCTTTTCACATGGTGGTAAGAAAGTTTTCAGGTTGGATAACCCATTTAACTGGAACTTTCATGTATCTGAAGTCTGAAGTATTCAGTACTTGGATAAAAAAGAAAATAGTCTTGTTGCTGAGCAACCTCTGGACATTTTCCATGCACTTCTCAAACACTCCAGCACTACATAAAGCTTCCTCTTCCCTCCAACTTTGCCTCCGTTGACTTTCCTTCCCACTTTCGAAGCAGCCTGTCCTACCACGACTTACAGTATGATTTGGCCCAAGGCACTTTGCTGTATGTTTCTACCTGCTGCAACGTTTGCCTTTAGAGCAAGGGAAATTCTGTTTCAAGTAAGTCCTAGGCAGAGCAGTCACTTGTGAGAAAATGGGGTGAGGAAGGAGGGAGGCTGAGATCCAGCTCTGAAACACTCAGCTCCTCTTTGTACAATGTCCCCATTGTATGTTCTTACACACAGTTTGCAAATAATGAGCAAATATTTTCTACAACACACACCCATGCCTAAGAGAGTATTATATCCTGGCCAATATAACCCTTAGGCCAAAATTACTAATTTACATGCTCTCTCACCTAGTTTCATATAAATCCTTGAAGAGTCTAGAGATCTCTCTATTCTGTTTAACATACCATAGACATCTTGATTATACCATATCAACTGCTGCACCTTACTGGAGGGGAAGTCTCTCATTTTAAAATAAAAGGAAACAGAAACTTCACACACCTGAGATGGAGTCTGCCCCAAATGAAACACAATAAAACATTCCTCAAGCAGCCTGGTACCTTAAACCTCCCTGGGTGCATGAACTAAGCTGATTTTCTTTCAGGAAGACGCACAAGTGAAGGCTTATGCCACTGTACAGACCCACCGAGAACCAAACCAGAGAGGAGGAAATCACACTGCCTTTTAGCCTAAGCACCCTTGCTTTACCTCCTGCCTCCGAAGTGTATCAGGCCCACCTCACAAGCACAGGTCAGTGCATGGGTATTAAGTTGAGATGTGCTTGATTCAGCTGCTGAGCACAATCAATACCTGCAACCTCATGGCCCTACATGTTCCTGCGGGTTCCTTCCTCTGACGCTCAGAAGCGCTGGGCAGTGCCAGGTCACTGTCTCTTATTCTGAACAGTAAGTGGAAAAGGAGAGTGTACCTGATGAAACTCAGGTTTATGGCAGCTGGAGCCTCCAGGAGCACAGCTTCAGCGTTTCCTACATCTCAGTCCCAAATATATTTAGCTGTTTGAGTCTCGTTGTGTTCAGAGAAGTAGGATACTCTTGCAAGTAAAAGACAACTGGATCAAAGATATCCAACTACATTAACAGTTTTTCCTCCTAAGTGAAATAACCTGCAAGCCCCGAGTTTTGGCTAGTTGGTCAAATTGAAGAAGGATAATATCTCACTGTCTTTTCTTAAGGCTGTTCAACACCTCCCTTCAGTATTTTCTTTTTAGCTCCTATAACCTGGAGAAGCTTCAATCATCATTTGCTATAGTAAAGATTATATTTTGCTGTAGTTTTCCAATATTAAAAGACTCTTATCTAAATTCATTCACATATTTTAGAAAAAGAAATGGGAAAAAAAATTTCTAACTCAGAGGATTCCAAGCATCCACTAACATGTTCTTCTTGGAGAAAATGGAGAGGTGTTTGTTAAAAATTTGTTTTGGCCACACCAAGGGAAGATGGGTAAAAGGTTTTCAGAATCTTACATGTTTCCACAGACCAAATTTTAAGAATTAATACTCTAGATTGGTCTAGTTTGAATCTGCTGCAAAAAGTTCACTTGATCTTGCAAGCAGATTAACTGATCATAACTCTTCTTGGCATTAAAACAAACATAAACAATAAGGAAATGTAAGTTTTCACTTGGGGAAAAAAAAAATAAAAGTGCTCAGATGATGGGTTCCACATCCCTTTCGGCTTTCATCTCCAAACCCAAAACAGAAATATCTCGAACTTTAACCCATCTATCAAGAATTTAAACTAGAAGTTCAACATTAACACCATCTCTGACTTAAAGGACAAGTAACATCTTCCTCATGGCAATATATTTCAAAGTATTTCTCAAGGAATAATAATATCATTCTTTCCATTTTACATAGAAGAAAAACAGAGCTAGAAAAGGGAAGTGGTAGAGCTGTGAATAACAAGAGTATTCCCTCTTCTTGATGCCCCCACTATACCACACCACCTACTCACGATTAATAAGGTCAAAATAAATTTTGAGAGACTCCTGCTGTCACAACAAGAATGATCCTTTCATATTGTTGACATTAATAACTTCACTTACCCTACTGCTGAGGATGCATTTAATTATTTAAGAGATGTCAGCTTCAAGTACCATCTGCTATCTATAATATTTAATCAGCATTCCTATTAAAGTAAAGCAGAAATATGCTGAACGCTATCATTGCCAAAGCCTACACCTGAATTTACAAGAGTTCCTGCAAATGCAATGGGTTTATATTTGTGCAAGAGAAGAGGCAAATGTTGACATATACAACACGGGTGGGGGATAGAGGGCCCGGTAAGCAAAGGTGATGTAGTCTGCAAATAAGCTTGTTGTTCTAAGCTTCAAAAACACTGTCACAACCATCCCCAAATAAAAGCAACTCAATGTTCCTTTTGGCCTGGGGGATTAAGAGCACTCAAAACCATTTTACACTTGAGTGAATACCTTTCTCCCATCTTGGCATCAGCAGCTTTTTTCATCAGGACATGCATCCTGCAATCAAGAGTCATCCAAGTCATTTTTATATTGCAAATGTTTTGAAACTTTTAAAACATTTTGCAGGACATTTGACTTTAGCAAATCTAATATTCAAAACCCAGTGCTAGTCTGAATACTAAATACTCCAGAGCTAGGACAGAACTCAGTTATTTTATCATTGGGATGTTGATGCTAAACTCAAAAACAAAACAAACAAACAAACAAACAAAAAAACCAAAACAAAACAAAAAAAACCCAAAAAACCAAAAAAACAAAACTGTTGCCAGGCAGTGCTCAGAGCATGCTTCTGAGTTAATGAGAAAAACTGTCTTCTCTTTGCAGCTCACCTGGTATAAGCAAGCCAGAGGTCAAAAATGAAAGGTCAGTTGATGCCAGCAGGCTACTGAGACCGCAGGCTCTGCTGACAGATTCTCCCACACAGGGTCAGTGCTCAGGAACATCACTTCCAACTTAACAGTCTTACTCAGTTTGCAGCAATAAGTTTGCGGAGTGGTTATGCAGACGGCTCGAGAGACTGTTTCTCAGGCCACTCTTACCTCTCCATAATTAAATGGATCAGAGAACCAAGCAGAGGTCTTAATTCACCTGGGACATCCAATCTTCCTTGAAGCAGTATTACAGCTCAACACAGTCCATTTTCTCTCCTGCTTACAGCACGAATTCGGAGGAGCGCCTTGCTTCCACCGTGGCATAGAGAGGTCAAATGGAAACTCAGCAAATCAAAGACTATCAGCGGGGCTGTCAGAGAAGTTCAACATAAATTGTTTGCCTACTCGTGGTGAACTTGAACAGGAATAATGGATTCCCTTACCATTTAATCTCAGAAAATTGTAATTACCACAATCAACTTTTCTTCAATAGCTGCCAACAATGACTGCCGTAAGCAAGCTTTGCAGGGCTGCCTTTGTAAATAATAATGCTGGATTATAAAACCTGGTAAACAACAAAGCTAAGATTCAAAGATGGGTTTGAAGCTCTACTGGGAAAGGCAACCACAATGCTTGCTCTTCTTCCTGTGGTAACTTTCCCTCTGTCTTGATCCTTGACTGCTTCCCACAGAGGCACATTTAACTCTTCTACAGCCCTCAGCAAAAGCATTAGGCAGCTGGTGCCAGGCCCCCCAATTAGGTTTTCATTCTGCCTTTCCTCCCACTCACTCAGAACACAGTTACATGGGGTAATTGATTCCAGTAGTGTTTGCACATAAGAGTGCAGCTACACTGAAACTGCCTCTCAAGCACATGGCGAGGTTCATATCAACTCAATCTTGCTGCCAGTCTATGCTGTTTGACATGCTAGTCCACATTTAGGCACAGAATTAAAAACTCCTTAGATACCTCCAAAGGGACAAATCTGAGTCTGTGCTACTCTGGAGTACTGCATCTATAAGGACTTGGGAGCATATTCACACACGAGCTAAGCATACAGCTCTTATGGTGGTGTCCCGACCATTGGACACTTTCTAGAAAGGCCCCAACATTGGCAAACGGCAGCTGAATTCACAGGCACTCTGTAGAGCCATCTGGCCACCCTGAAGCTGAACTATCCGAATTTGAAATTTTATTTATTTTTGATCTCTTGAACCCTTGGAAAAAAAGCCAAGAATGGAATGCAAAACGCGCTTCAGTCCTCAAAAAATAAAATCCCTATTAGAGAAGAATATGCCAAGTATTTTTTGTTCCTACAGCCAACAAGTTACTGTAGACAGCTGTTCTCCTGCCCAGTACCATCAAATGTTGTAAAACGACTGCCATTCCCTATTCAATGTCTGAGATGATGCAAGACTGCAGCAACAGTGTTCTGATTTCTGTACCTCAGTACATCTCCACCAGCCCATTGTCAGAAAAATAAACACAGCAAAGGAAGTGGATTTTCCGAGTACATGTATCTCTGAAGAGCAATAAAGCACATGTTCTTTCATGATCACCCAGCTGCAATACCTATTATTACACTCTGAATTTAAATATGCTTCAAAAAACAAAATTTAAATCCTAAAATTATCACTAGCAACAGGAAAAGCTGTGTGCACCAAACACCCTCTTTTACTCTTGTTTTTCCTCTCACTCCCAACCTTTACGCAATCACCAAACTGGAAATTCTCCCTACTTGGAGGAGCTTGCAGAAATAAGGAGTGAAAGCAGTTAAGACTTTCAACAAACACTAGTCTGTCATGACAGAAATACCAGAAAAGTCTCATTTTCCCAAGCTGATATTTACTGAAAATGCAGAAGCCAGGAGAAAATACCGTTTCTCCAAGCATTAATATTCTTCAGAGTATACTAATTCTCATCCTTTAAATACCAATACAAGAGTTGCTTTTACTCATTTCATAATAAGAATAAAGTCTGGACTGGGACATGTGCTTGTTCTTTTGTTCTGACACTGCTGTCCTTCTGAAATGCTGTATGCATTGCTATAGAAATTCATGTCAGAAGTCCTTTTTGTACCAGTTCCCTCAGGCAACACAATGTTGTTCTCCTGAAATAAAAACTTCTCCTTTCAGTAAATTAAATACCACTATATTTTGGCATTTTTCATGAGGCAACTTTTTGGTTTTGTAAGGTAACTGTCAGCTGATGAAAGCTACACTTAGGCCTTCTCCCTAAAAATGATCACATGAAAACATGCTTGTTTTTTTTTTCCCTGCATTTCTGTTACAAAGATTACCTGAATAATTACATAAAAGGCAACAAGCATATAAAGTGCTTGTTGTTACCAATAATATATAATTCTCTGGCTAATAAGCATGAATAGCTTACAAGAGAAAAAAACCTCAGCTTTATGTTTTTATTGTTCACATTTGAGTTTTGCATTTTTTCTCTGCATAGGCAATTAAAAAACAAAGACAGATCCACAGCTTGGCATCAATATTATACACATTCTCGATGCATTAATAAAATTCAGCAACATTTGAGTTAAAAACAGTGCAGGAAATTGTGTCAGCACAATATTTAAGATAAATAGAAAATATTTCAAATGAAAAGTTACTTTAAAAATAAGATTCTAACAAAAGAAATGAGATTAAGAGTCATATATTTGAAAAAAAAATCATGTATATTAGCATGACTGACCTAGGCCAATTTATACCACTTCATGCCTTTTAATCAAGAAAGAAATTCATAGTAGCTTTAAACAAGCTACTTTTAACTCACCTTTTTTCTTTAGGGCTTTTTTAGAAGCCTCAGGACAGCTGATAAAATATACTGCAAGCAATCCCAAATGCCCAGAGAATATAGAGTAAATATAGCTCTTTTGGTCTAGAGAGTTCACTCTGCAAGTACCAAGAGGAATAACGAAGTAGGATGGAGGAACAAGGCAGGGCTACAAAGAATATACACAAATTTGATCTGCCTACCCTTCCAGACCCAGAAGAACAACTTATCTGGAATTCTCTTATCTGTTTTATACTTTTACAATAGAGTTTGTGTCTGCTGACTCACTTCTGAGTTTGACGGGCCTACTCATCTCCCCTTCAACAGTCTAACTATTTGCAGGAGATTTCTCTGGAAGAAACACTGGTCTGGCACAGAACTCCTCTGTCAATCAAGAATTCAAGCTAGTCAGAAAGCATCAGAGAAGAGTTTGAAGAAAAATATATCTGTAAAATTTTCTGACTAGCCCCTTAGGTCCATACACAGGAATTTATCTCCTGCTGACCTCCCACATCACCACTATAGTATTTTCAAGCAATAGCTATGGAGCCAAATTATGAGCTCCACAGTCTCGAGTACTAATACAATAACTCCAAAACTCTTTACACCAACAGACCATTAGCCCAGTTCACAGGCCCATGATCTCCTTCTACTCAGAATGTCGAATATGACAGCTTGCAACACAAAACCACTTGGAAAGCCATTACACTAAAATTCATGTTATTACAGCTACCTTCCCCTGATTACTGGGAACAGAAATCAGAACCCCTTAGGTTAAAAGCATCATTCTTTGGCTCAGCGTTGCAAGTGAATAGTGTAATTCTGACATAATTTTAACAAAGAAAACAAGACAATGCAAAACAATTATCCAGAAATAAACAAATAAATAAAAGCAAACTATATTATCAACTGTAGCACTAGAACCATCAAAAAAGGTTTCTGTCATAGGTATTAGATAATGTGAACTGCAGTACTATTGGCCGAAGTCCCAAGCTACTAATACTTTCTCTTCACAAATGGCCTATAAATTAACCTGAAGAAAATATCGATATGTTTAAGCTAGGCTTCACTTCCTGGCAGCATCAATTTTGTTAAGGAAAAGAAGTCTGGATGCTTAACTCTGAAATAACCTTTTTTTCTCTTTAAGTCATTTCTGAGTGTGGTTACCTACAGGAACTTTATGCAATATATATCCATAAAATATGAAATAGAGCAGTCCTCATGTCAAGCAAGTCAATGAATAAGGGAATAAACTGGTTAACACACACAAGATTAATAGAATATTAAGAAAGAAGTTAGTATTATAAACATACTCTTGCACAAAGGAAAAAAGGAAAAATGGCATTTCCCTTTGGGATTCAAAATGAATTTAGAAAAATTTTGACCACTTAGACAAAACAAATGCTTGTTTTGTGACTGCATGCATGCTAAAAGATGTAGGAGGAGAACTTAGGAAACTGTGAGATACAGCTCTAAATGCCAATTCTAAGAATGTGTTGCTTTCAATTTCACATCTGGTTCTTCCAGAAATTTGTTATGTATGTTACATAAAATATAATAGATGTAGCCCTACAGATAAAAATACCTACTTGTTTCTATGAGGATCACTTTTCCATCTGTGTAGAAAATCACACCCTATTAATCTTACCTTTAGAGCACCACAAAGCTCAACAGTATCTGCATCATCTACTACAGTTATTCGGAAGTTTGGAGTCTGCAGGAGTTCTTTGAAGAGAAGGCCATTCTCCAAGATTTTGCTGCCTGTTGAGAGAGAGAAAGGAAGAATAAAAAAAAAGGCAATGAATAATTTATTAAGTATTATTTTTGCTTTTCTTTGCAAGTCAGAATACTTGAAAGCAGAGATAAGGTTGTTCTATCTTTATCCTGAACAGATTCCCTTGTTTTAAATGATTAAGGGTGTGTCTACATCACCCTGAAAAGCTCTGCACTGAATAACTGTGGGTTTCTTCATAATTCATTGCCTGTTCAGCAAGAAAGTCTAAAAAAAAATCCACTAATTCTCTATACTCTCCCTTTTCTTTAAACCTTTCTCTTTTAAAAAAAGTTAATAATAAAACAAAGGTAAGTTGAAAATACTATAAGCACATTTCTACCAATTATTTTAAGGTCAGTTTTCAAGAGAAATATGTACTGATAAAGGCAGTTAAGGATATTTTCTTAATGGGCGTACTGACAATGGCAGCTAAGCTTCTGTGCATGGCAATTCAAACATTCAAAAAGAGATGTAATGCAAAACTATGTGTAGGATTGGAGAGAACTAGTTATTTTAATAATTTTAAAAGGATTACGGTAAAAAAAAATAAAAGAAGCAATTTTTTTTTTAAAAGTAAGATATATAGAAAGATACCATCTATGACTAGAACACCTGAGCTGGAATATATAATCATTTATCCAAATAAAGCACCCAGAAAATCTTCAGCACAGCATTAACATAAAGCTATTTAATATTTGGAGGATGATAAAACGCATGCTTAGTATTTTACCTGCAAGGGTCTGCTAGTCTCATTACTGAGACTATGAATTGCATTTCTCCATCTCCCTCTGCTCCCAGTTCTCTCCCAGTACTTTGTGGAGTGTAAACATTCTAGGAACTCAACATTAAAACAAGGCAGACCCCACTGTTTCTGCTAACAGCTGATTAATGTTGAAAACTGAAATGTGAGCTACTGGATGCACAGTTCCGAGCACAGGAGCATATTTTAAGCATTTCAATTACCCGGCACATTACCTATTGTGGTTTCACAGAACTTCTCCGCTGCCACCTCATTGGCAATGTTGGCTCCCATGAGCACACTGATGTCTATCTCCACCTTCTCGCGAATAATGTCGGAGATCAGCTTGAGTCCCTCTGGCCCTTCATCTATTCCCTGCAGTCAACATCAAAGCCAATTACTAAAAAGGTCTTAGACATAGCATAGAATAAGAGCACATCACTATTGGCTTTGCCCACAGGTAGGCACTACAACATGGTCCATTCAGATGAGGCCTGAAGGTGACAAACTTGTTGGCAGAGACATCCACGAGATGCTTCTGCTAGTACTGTAACCTCTTGAAGATGCCTTCTTATATGAGGCAGCATCTAAAAATCACAAATACTGGCTCTGTTGTTCAAAATCTCAGCTGGTTGAAATCAATGTGTGCCTTCTAACAACCAGTGAAGAATCACTGAAATACCAATTGTGAATCAGCCCTGCACTTGGATCTCAAGTTGGGCCAAAACTCACCAGATGGCAAACCAATGGCTTTTTTTGAAAAGGGGAATCTGAATTAAAATGTCAGAGAGATTCCCTTGTGTATAAGCCCACAACAGCTTACTAGCGGAAAGACAACTTAATCATCTTGAAGAATACTACAAGTTGAACGAAAGTACACAAATATGAAAGCTGAACTGAGAACACTTTCATGTGTAAGTACATTTAAAACTTATACTTACAAATTACCCTTCACAAACTTTATAGAAAGTGAAAGCAGGTGCACAAAACAGGAGTTCAGAAAAAAATGCCCCAGAGATTAATACTGGAATGGATGGACTCTGGTGCTCTGAAGTGCCTGGATCAAAGATTCTGAGAGAAGCCACCTCCTTCTCACAAGACCCTTCCTGCCGCCTAGCTAAATGCAGATTTCTTTTGTGCTTTGAAAGCCTGGGAAAAGCAGACAGGGAAGCTATCTGAAGCTACTGATATGGTCTCCATTTTTTTCCCCAAAGATGGCTTATATAACCTTCTATATAGTAATATTTAGAATGTTTGTGAGGAGGGATGTATATGGCAATTTCAAATTAAATTATACAACTTAAAGGTTAAAAGGCAGTGTGATCTGCTACTACTTTAAGATATACTCACATACACACATATATATGTGTATACATGCACACACATTTATTTAATCAAATGGCATTTCAGGCAGCACTCCTTAAAGCAGCCATTCCATAAAATGTAAGCAGGAATCGATGCATTTCTGTATTATTTTTCAACTACAGTTCTTAAGACACAGCTCTGCCTTCTCATCTTTTATGGCCCATATAGAAAGAATCTGAAAGCAAGCAGATATACCTGTCACGTTTTTCCCTAATAGTGCTAATGATGTCCCTGCAAAATATCTATAAGACTTCTTCCCCATCCTCCTAAGCAGGCAATTAATAAACACCACATACATATTGGAAACAATTCCCAGCATGTGACTATACACACCTCAGCTATTCATGCCAGGGAAAGGCCAGGGATGCTTGGGTGCCAAATTCAGCTCTCCTAGGAAACAGATGCAACTTCTGACAAATTCAAGGAGAATTGCACCAGTTTCTGTCAGAGCCAAATCCAATACTGGATGACAGACAACAGGGAAAATAAAAATCAAGTCTCCAATATGGGAATTTCTACTGGGCAGCAATGCTCCCAGGCAATGCAAGCCCAGGTCAGGAGTCTTACCACCTGAATCCTAACATGCGCGTCAGGGTAATGCCACGGACCCGCATGCTGGTTGATGGAAAGGAGACCAGCATTTGGGTTGTCTGAAGTGTATTCTGAGTGATGGTCACAAACCTGAGTCCTACACTCTCTTCTCTACTGCATCATAAGCTGCACGCAAGTGAGACTCCGTTCTTCTCCCATAATAAATTATTTGTTAGGTTTTGGCAGATATTGGTGGTCAGAACATATGTAAAGTATCACAACTGCAAATGTTTCAATGGGAGCACAGATTAAGCAGTAAACATCCTTATTTGACAAAGCTTCAGTTTTATTTTCATATATTAGGCTCTGCTTCAAGATTTGATTGTTAAAAAAAGGGGGGAGAAGGAGGCTAAAAGAGTACATACTGCTAATTTGCCAAGCAACATCTGATTTAGAGAGCAGAGAAACAAAGGTGTCACCAGTGACATTTTTAGGAGAGAGCTGCACTTTAGCTGCCAAGTTAACTTCAGTAGCTTTAGTGCCAAGCGTAATGAGATGAAGGCTGTTAAAACTCTGGTGAGAAAAGTGCACACAGAAAAGCTGCAAGAGTAGGAGACAGAATGCTTTCCTGCCTCTACCCTTTCTGCTCAATCTCTGGCCTTTCATCTTAGAAGATACATATGCAATTACGCCTTTTGATGAAAGCTGACAACATGTACTTTGCATTCTCCTGCAAAGAAATTGAAAGGCCATGCACAATTTCTTTCAAAAGACCACCTACTGATGCAGAGATGCAATGAGACAGTGGGAGGCTGCCTTGGTATCAATTCAGCTTTGCATGGCAGGTGTTACTACATTTTTATTTTAAATACACTGGACAGAATATGGATTTTTATATTATTATTAAAGACAAATGCTCCCCCTGTTTTAAACATAACCCATTAATTAAGACTCCATTAAAACGCCATAAGCAGTACTCCTGAAGGAATACAGGCCTGGATTCTGAATTTGGAGATTCCAATACAAATCCTCATCTACTCAAGTGATTTCATGAAATAATTATTCCTAGGACTAGAGACAGGAGGACACAGTTCACATGTAGCAAATTAAAGCATTACAGAATAAAGTTTATCTTGAGCTTGTAGAAGAAACAGGCAAAAGCTGGTATCTTCAAAAGCAGTAATGCTTTGACATTTAAGGGTATTCAGGACAGTTGCATCCTTTTGATTTTGATGCTATGCATTCAAGCTCTTTCAGCTCTGCTTTATTTTATCCTTCTACTCCATGAAAACCTTTTTCCAGAAAATGCAGCCAGTGCACTAGGGAAACATTGCCTTTCCATATATCTCAGCACTACTTCAGGTTAGCACAGACAAAACACAGCACAGCTTAGATGAGCTTAGCCAAAGGAAAGAGAGAAGCTTGTAGTCAGTAGTGATAAAGGGCTTTTTCTTTAACACATATCTGTAAATGGATCATTTGCCAGAAAACACAACAGAAAAGAAAGCTTGTGCTGATAAAAATAAATGGCCTACTCCCAACTAAGTATAAAGCAACAATGAAGAAGCATCTTCCAAAGTTCATGGCAACAACTCATCCTTTGCAGCTAGGCACACAAGGGGCTGGGGAGAGAAACACACCACATACAAGAATTCTCTTGCCACCAAAACTATAAAAGTCCCTGGTGAAACACTTACCCTTATTTTCTACACCTCTACCCCTTCCTGGCTCCCATGCTTAAATTGGTTTATCTTTTTGATTGTGCTGAACAGTCTCTCTTGCTACAACACAATCTTTGACATGAACAAGAGCACTATCCCTCAGCCGCATGGGATTCTCTCAGCAGCTCTTAAAACGATCAGCTGTGTGGGGGGGATGTGCATTAACAACCAGACCATTATCCCTGTGCTCTGCTGTCCACCTAATGATGTGTTTGGAAACAAGTTAAAAGATTGGAAAACTTGATGGTGCAAAACATATTCCCTCCCCCCTTCCTTTTAAAGAAAGCTTTGTGAACAGCCTCATTTTCCTCCTACTGCAAACATTAACCTAAAATAACACACTGTATAACAATCCACTAATGGCTGAGAAATTCCAGAGAAGGATTAATGGAACAATCACAGACTTTTGCTATCAAATTCTAAATCATCCGGTTTTAGAAGATTCCACAAAACGTGCTCAGCATTGACATACAGCATTTATTATACCTTTATGAGAGTTATACCAAGAGCTTTCTTGGGTACTCGTCCAGTGATTTCATCGCAGATCTTATGAATGAATTGATGAGGAATGACGAAGACCAGCAAGTCTGCATCCTGCACAGCTTCATTAAGGTTTGGGATAGCAACCTGTACAGTTATGGGAGAGAAAATCCAGATTAAAAAAAATAATACTGTTCACACATGTTGTCGAATATGTAAAAAAAAAACATTTTGGTCTTCTATAGAGTGCTACAAATTACTGTCCTTCATCACTGAAAACAAGCACTGACACAATCTTCCTACAAAAGCAAAAGATGCTTTTAAACCAACCACTTTATGCCCTCAAAGTAACATCTTTACAGCCACCTGTAATGTTAGTGCAAAGAAATGTATAAGCAAGTGATGGAATTTAAAATACCAAATATGCAAGAATCAAAAACCAACGCGTGACTTAACATTCAAACATATAGTTTGAGTTAGAAAAGATAAAAGAAGCTTCATTCTCTTTAACAAAATAATCTCAAATTTGACATACTACTGCATGCTGAAAAGTTTGGTCCTTGTACACTCAGATTTCTCCTCCACTACTTTTTACACCTGCTATCTTATATTCTCTGTATAGTAATATTTTGTCTATCCTTTAAAAAGATGACTTATTTCCAAATGATCTGCCAGACTCCACTTTTCTAACACGTGATGACCATTTTAAAATAATGGTCAGGTTTAGAATCTGTCAAGAAGCTCAGCCTACTGACAAAAAAAACTACATGAATGAGTAGGTCGTAACCAGCAGAAACCCCATGGATTTCACCTTTAATGTTACAGGCAAAACTGCTCTTCATGGCAATTCATGTTCTCCTGCCCAGAATTTGCTGCTGAACTGTTAGCTGCTGCAGTCTCTGCCTATAGTGCTTTTTGGGCCAGACTCCCTAACCACCCGCTCACCACTCCATTACCCCAACACCAACGGGACGTGGTCCTATCGCTCTGCCCTGCTGGAGGTAGAAATGTGTTGGCCTGTGCATGGTAGAAGGCAACCTAGAACTGAATAAATTGTAAATAATTTTGAGTTCTTCTGCTCTTGTTCTCATCCTACAGCACTTTTTTAAACACTTCCAGAGTATTTGAAGCCTCCTCAATCCTAGTTGACCAGACTGCAACCTTCCAAAACCAAGGGCAAATTTTTATATCAGGCATGGGCAGAGCCCTTACTCTCTTCCTCATTTTCACATTTATGTACATACACAAAAGCTGTAGTAACACAAAAATACCAAAAAAAAAAGTTTAATATGCATACTTCAGTAATTTTACTTGTTCCAGATTTTCATCATACAGTTTGAAATATGATAAAACCCAAAGATGTTAACAAAACAAATTTCTACCTCCATTCACAGCACGAGCAAAATTCCCGCAACTCCATAACTAGATCAAATTTATCTTCTCAGCCTTACCACATTATCTGGCAGCTTGTATCCAGGGAGATATTTTACATTTTCATGTTCATTATTTATGATATCTGTCAGTTTTCTCCCATTAATATTCTCCTCAAACACCCACATCTTCACTGTAGAAGCAAACTTCTGCAATTTTTTTACATTATTGCCTATTATTTTGGCAACTGCAGAACCCCTGCAGAAAAGAAAGCAAAAATAATGTATTTAAAAAATATATAATGTTGTTCTAGAATAAATAGAAATCCACATGTTACTGGACCAATTTTTTTTAACTTTTCTGATCTAGTAAAAAAAAAAGAGTAGAAAAAAAATAGAGCAGTTGTTCATGCCTGCTCTTTCTCTCAAACAAATATATCTAGAATACATCGCACTGACACATTTATCGAAAAATTCTACATTTATTTTGTCTTTTTACTGGCTATCCAGTGAGAATTTGGGTAATTTTATTTGCACATATGAAAGAGATTATATATTCAATCCAGTGGTAGAAGTTACATACTATTATTTCATTCTTAATTCATAAACTCATTTTAAAAAACGGATTACTTTCACCTTTAACAAAGAGGAAGTTTTCTTTACTAAGATGACTAAACCATCCATTTTTGCAAATATCAATAGGCATTAAAGACAGGGAGCATTTATATCTTGCATAAATTGTATATATGGTCATGTTGCCAACCTCACAGAATTTAAGCATTGCAATGGTATACTCTGAACTCGCAGACTGACAATGCCATTGCTCTTAGCCTCATTTTCTCTCCAAGAACAGCGCAATGAAGCCTGGAGGATTGTTATCAATTTTACTTGTACTACTCAAGTCTCTAAGCAATAGCAAAATTACTCAGAATTACTGAAGCTACACACAAGAGGAAAAAACACATCTTTCCATTCCAGTAGCCTGGACACTACAGACAAGAAAAAGATGCAATTTAATAAAGCCTATTAATCTAACTCCCTTTCCTTGGATCAGAAAAAAAAATCATATTTACTTCATAATTACTGATAATCGACTAAGCAGACCGTAAAGATTTGAAAAATATGATAAAGATACGCAGAATCACTGACCAGAAGTTTACACATTTCTGCACATTTCCTTGCTTCTTTCTGCTACTAGAACTTTTGCTACTGCGACTTTCAAGTATTTGGTATGTTAAAAGCAGGGAAGGGAAAATGCTGCACACACTTTTTTAGAAGATGAGAGCTCTGCCTTTACAAACATAGCTATACAGAGAACACTCCCCTAAATTTACTAAGAACATTGCTTGTAATAAACTTGTAGCTGGCATGTAAACCAAGTAGATTCATTCTGTCGTAAGAGACATATATGGCACAACTCATTGGGCTATATTAAAAATGTCTGCAAGCACAGGCCTTCCTAATGTTACTTTCTAAGTAGCAGCAGAAAAAAAATGTAATATCTGAAGTAGATCTTCAGATAAATCATAAAAACAGTATGTCTTAGAAGATTAGAATTTATTTCACCAACAGCACTGCACACTGCAAAACTCCCTGGGGTGAGGGGAGTGGAGGGGGGTGACACGGAAGCCTCCGTGTTTTTTCAGAATAAACAACTTGGTCACAACTAACACAGCCTGGAAACACCCACATGGCTCCACCTCAAACTATTTTTTGCAAAAAGTTGAAAGAGTAACTGAAGCAACTGAACCTAGATAGCAAGTACATTTTGGCCATTTGATTACATCCCTCCATCAAACTGTCTGAAGAGATCCCTCATGCACTTTGGGCCTGTGAGGCTGTGTTAAACAACCTTAACTTACTAAGCCCCAGTTAAATTGGTCATCTCTCACCAAGCGCATATTCTAGACCACCACACGCACACACTGTGGTTTCCCCTGCAGTGGCAGACAACTCACCAGTTCAATTTTCGAGATTTCAGATATTCACAAATGCAAAGTATTTAATCCACCACACCACAGAGGGTCGTTCAGCAGAAGGTGTTTTGCATTCTTTGAAAAAAGCAAATTCACTACTGCAGATTTATACACAATATAAAATCTGGTTCCTGGGAAATCACCATCTTCAGCTTTGAACTGCACTAAGTATTTTGCGTGCTTAGAGTTGATAAAGGCAAGTATAACTGATTCAGTGACTGTCCAACTGGGATTTTCAAATGGCGTGTCATCATGAAGTTTAACATTGTGTACTTCTTATAACATTTATTATATTATTATTGAATACTGAAATGTCTCAGTTGTCTCTTTTTTAAAAATAATACATCTAATGGTCTTTGAAAAGTGAAAAACCAGCTAGTCTTAGTCTCTGAATTCAAGAAGATTCTCCAGATTAGCTTTTCTGGATTCCCATTTCATTTTATGTTGGAAGAGCTGCTGTAACAATGAATTAGACACAGTCAAGCAACTGACTCTGAGCCCAAGACTTCTCAGATAAGCAAGGTGAAATACAAATTCCCAACACCTGCCAATCCAGTCAGCAAGTTCTCTTCTGCATCCCAGAACTCCTCAGTATGAAGTCTGGACCATTCACTGGGATTTTTGGTTCATCTTGCAGTATACTCCTGACACATAACAAAACAAAGGAACTGGAGTTCTTGCCAGTTTAGCTCTAGCAGTAGTAGTTCTAGCAGAATCTGGATTGTGATACTTGGTGTCTGTAGCAGTTCAGCTACATGAGAAAAAACAGACTGCCATTCCCTCATAAACTCTAATCAACCCTAACATGCTCCAAGGGCCTTCTGCCCTTCAGTGTTCACCATCTACTATTCATATTTACCATCCGAGTACCACTGTTGGTCTGCTCTCCTCTCATCAGATTAAACTGCATCAATCTAAAGTGAATCGAGATACTGCCCTCCAATCCTGAGGCTTCAAGGTCTATTTGGGAAGTCCCTCTTCCTGTTGAGGTGGGCCCTGCCTTAAAGCTTTTAATACAATCACGTAACCACCAGATGAGCAGCTTACAGAGGAACACAAGTAGCAAAAAAAAAAAAAAAAACACAGCTCCTGCTTTTCTGTGACTCCTGAAGCATCTGTCCTGTCCCGTGATCTTTCATGAGGTGTTAAGAGACCCCTGCCAAGTCACTTCATTGCTAAGGTCACCTTCCCTCCAGCAAACTGACCAAACAAGTTTGACTGGTGGTAGTTTATCATCTGAAAAGATTAGCACAACTGTTCTAAACTGTCCTTGTCCTGCCAAGCTCCTTTAGCCTGTTTTTTGTTTTGTTTTTGTTTTTTTGGTTTGGGATGTAGGCTAAAGGTCTGCAAGAAGGCAAAGGCATTCATACCGTTCATACTGTTATGGGCACTTGTGGAACAAACTCGCCTTCTCACACAGAACACAAGAGTCTCTTGTGGACTGTGGAAAATACAGAGTCTCCAAACTGCTAAGCAAGTAAAGTCCCACTTGGTTCAACTACTTACATACTGACACCTCAGGTATCACCAGTTCATGACATCCAGGCTTCAAAAATATATAACCTTAAAATAACAGTTCTAAGATGCATGTAATTGCTTTGCTTTCCTTCTCATTTCATGCTTTTGAAGCTCATAGGCTTTTGTTTTAGGAGCACAGGCCCCAACTGAGTAAGACACTTATGCGCACAAATATGCACTTACATTAACAGAGTCCTGTTTAGTTTAATGGTTACATATACTATTGAGTCCAGCTGCTGTCTTCAGTCAGGATCTGGTGCCTGTCATCCCTCGGACTTGCAGAGGATATCTACCGCTCCAAGAATTGTTTTCAGAAACAAAGCCGTTACACACCAAATCATTTACTATTTCAAATCTTTTTATTACTTCTGTTTCATCTATCCTGCCACATAATTTTTGCCACATAGCTATCAAATATGAAATCAATTATCAGTCATTTAAAGACATTTATCCTCAAAAGAAAGAAGAAAGCTGAATGCCCAGTAACAGCAGCAACTTCTTTCAATATCACAGGCATGGGCATTTTGTCATCCATCCCTTTGACTGGAGTTTTTCTTGTTAAAAAAGTGATGCAGTAAAGTGAAAACAAAACACACATGCGCAAGGGCATAGCTAGCAGGTAACCTCCATGAATCTTCCTGCTTCTGGCAAGTTAGTTTCACAGCAGCTCGACCATAAACACAGTTAAACTATTTGCACAACTTCTTGCAAGGTTTAAAATGCGGAAGAATGACATCAACACTCCTAGAAGCCTGACAGGCCCAACTACATAACTTCCTTTTGATACACTTTGCAAAGCCCAGGATTGCCCAGCTCACCTTACAAGCTAGACTGAGGTGAGCAAGAGCCCCAGCACCGAAACAATGTTGGCCATTAAGTCAACAGGCCCTTGGGAAGAAAAAACATAACTCTGCAGTTGCTGATATGTTGAAGTCTGCAAAATAGCACCAAAAGCCAACTGCATTTAGCAGGTATCAAGCCTAAGATTGCTTTGGCAAAACACTGAAGTCCTGTTTAACAACCTGTAGTACCTTGCTCTTGGAACACCAACTCCTCTGTAACGTTAATTGAACGTGTAACGTATTGTGTCTGCCTGACAAATTCAAAACAGAATTTTATCTAAAATAACATATGCTTAGCAATAGAAATTAGAGTGGCAAATTGTGAAGATACATTTACATAATGCTTTGTCCTTAACTTACACCCTGTAAACAAAGATCCAATGCAAAAATCATGAATAAGGATGATGAAGAAATTGAGAAAGTGGGACAAAGGAGGATTATGCTTGTGGTACTGTTCTCAGAGAAATGATTAGGAAAGCTCTTTCTTTCACTGGACATGACAGTGAGACCATGAGCACATTTAAGCCTAATTATAAGCTCGTGGGAGACAAAAGAAAACCTTGTGTCAAGCCTTCTGTATGCCTCAACATGAGCTATTGAAAAAAAAATAAGTGGTATTCCGAATAACTTGGTGTCTTGCTACTCCTTTTAGAAAACAGAAAACAACACATTAAATAAATCGAGACATTTGACTGTCAGTTTGGAAGGGTGGTGGGCTTGCTCACCAAGCCCTAGAGCAGCACTGAGTGAGCAGGGACCTGCTTAAAAAAAGCTGCCCAGTGACTTCAGTGTCCGTGCCAGCTGGTACGGAGGAAGCACCCAACAAACACCAGGTCAAAATCACCCTAAAATAACTTTATAGAGGAAGAGCCTGCTGCCTGAAACACA